GTCTTCACGAGCTGAACTCTGCAAAAGATAGCACTGCTGTTTTTGCCGCTAAGAATCTAAGGTAAAAGTAGGCTTGGTACTAGACGGTGCAGCTTTGGCATAACACTGAGGGGCTCTTCGTCCGGGTTTTAATATCCCAGCGTTCGCTTTTTGCTAGGAAAAAAGAAAATGCACGGGATAGCAGGAGAAGGCTGGGAGAATTGGTCGTTACTAATCGATGTAATAGCTGCCTGTTCGTAAAAATATTGCATATTGCAAAACTAAATGTTTTTATGTCAAAACACAAACCTGTTGTTTCCAATTTAATCTTATGCCACAAGTAAAAAAAGCACAAGTAAAATTACTGTAGGCTGCAGAGAGTTTTAAACTGAGCTGCTGGAAAAGTTCTGAAGGAGCGCGAAAATTTGTAAGTGGAAAAAATTAAGGTTTTTTGATTGCAGTATTCCGGCTTTTTTTATAAGAACCTTCGTGGTGCGCGTAATGCAAGGAAAATTTCTGAAGGATTTTTATCTAATCTTATCTCCTGGATCAGATCTGTCTAACAGATACCAAGAAAAGAGCAAAGATGCCCCGAGTTGAACCAATATAAAATCTGCGCCCTAACAGATGCATAGTTTTTTTGCGATCTGCGTATTATTGAAATCTTATCAGACCTCAACAGACGACAAAAGAGCGTGAAGGTACCCCAAGATCAAGCAATATAAAATCTTCTGCGTCCAGATCCTTACTTTTTTTACGGCGTGAATATTTCTGAAATTTATTATATTGCCGAAGAGTTTTAAAATTATTGTAAACTCAGTACAGTATGAAGGACGGAAGCAGTTATTTTCAAAGGATGCCGCTTCTTTTGGCTTTCCGCAACATTTGCTTTTATAGTCATTACCCTACACCGAAAAGCATTTATGACTAATCCACTCATTCAAGTTTATAATCAAAAGTCGTCAAGCATTACCGTCTGTTGTTCATAACAAACTCCTTTGATGTTCACATTTTTCCGCGAAGTAGATTGAGGAGAACTATGATCCTCGCACTTTCCGAAATCAGCATGATAATCCGATATGATAGGATTCACATCCTCGACGCTGCCTCGTTCTAGCTTTGCTTGTTTCAGCAGTTTGCAAAGCCTCACTGTTTCCTCTTGACATTCCGCAGCGTGTGCTGCATCCTCTTTAAAGCTGACGTCCACTTTCTCCTTGCAAATGCCAGCAAAATTTGTGTCTCTTGAGTAAACTTGTTGCATAAATTTTCGCACATGAAGAAGCAAAATTTGGGTGCCAGTAGACAGGCATACCTAGTACAAAAAAAGAGAAATGAGTCTCGTATCGAGCTAAGGCTTCACTTCAAGATTTATTGCAGTTCCAGCTACTCTGCGTATGCATCCCAGTTCCCTACGCAGTTTGGCTAACTTGGTAATCCAGACAGTTTTTAATTAGTTTGGGAAGAAATGCGTTAAGGCTTTGGGGAATTCGGCTATATATTCATGTAACAGATTAACCGCTGAATAAGCGGCGACAAATATGTATGGGACCAGTCGAAGGTGGTCGGCCAAGGAGCGACAAATTTGTTTCGCATCGGTCTCCGCTTGAGTTTGAGACACCTCGGCGCTCTATTTATTACCTGCCAGATCCAGTTGTCAAGATAAAAGTTATCTGGAGATTAGCCGTGCATTACTTGCATTTCGAAAGCTCATCCGCTCATCGTCCACACTGTGCTACTGCCCTTTGCGCTGTTCTTGGAAATTAAGTAAAGACCTCACAATATACGCGTAATGCCAGGAATGACAAGATCACCCGATCTGTCTGTGTGGGTGTTCTAATGAGAATTATAACGTTCCGGAATTGGGATTAGGTGAGCTATCGAAAATATATGACTTTGAAAATTCAGCAAATAATGTTGGGGAAAGGAATTGTTCGTTTTTCATTATGTTTTCTAATTTTCGTGTTTTTGTATGACGAACTTCTAAAATCAAAGCCTTTTCGTTCACAGGTCCTTCCGCAATACAATTTTAACGCGTTTGCTTATCCACTATTTCGCTCATTTTTTTCCTGCTGCGCTTATTTATCAAAAATTACTAAAAGCTGTGGTCAGTCTCTCTACTTCTTGAGCACAAAAGAATATAGTTGTCTGTTAAAAGTGGAACAAAACACGTCGCTAATTATCCCT